GAGGACTAAATGAGAAGGAAGTATAAAGACTTAACCATTGTGCTGTAAGGAATGCATGTGGGCTCTCCTTTGAGTGGAGTTTGAAGTAATTGCCCATTGCATTGTTAGTAGGCACTTTATCAAAAGTGAGCTGCATATTTGAAATAATTAAAAATAAAAGAAGGAACTACATTAAATAGAGCATGCCAACCTTTAAAGTTAATAAATTTTGGGTGTTTTTTTAGCTAAGAAAATAAGTACTTAAAGGCACGGACTTTGACACACAGCATTCTGCATCATCTCTCTCTGTAATTCAGTCTGGATGCCATTAATCAGAGTGCTCTGGCTAATCTTAATTGTCATGATGTCGTGAGATGAGATGTGTAAGGTATTCAAACCATGTGGGCTATATTATTAAGAATCATTGTTAAGTGGGAGGATGAAGTGAACATGGAATGAAACAAGTCAGGCATCCGGTCTTGGTATTTCCTGTTGTTGGTGCTAGAATATTTTACTTTTTATGTCAAAAATAAAATGTACTTAATTTTTATCTGATATTTATGTGATTTAATTTATGTATACATAAATATCAACATGCATGCACATATACATATGCAGAGCCATACTTGATGACCAAAAAGGAAGAGGCCCCAAGGGATCTTTAGTGTGCAATTAATATTTTGGTCAGAAAATCAGCAGATTGTTTCAGTATGGTTATGTGTTATGACATCATATTCCAGTAAAGTTATAATGAACAGAAATTTTGTTTGTCTCTGTGGCAAACCGAAATGAGATTTGTAATTGTCAGCAGGCCTTAGTGATTATAGTGGCGCCCACTCCCTCTACTGTAGTTAAAGGTCTGCTAGCATTCCAGTTGTGGACCTCTATTTTCAGAAGTTTATAATTAATTGTAAACATTTGCTCTATGGTGAAGGCTTACTCTGTAACATCAGTTCAGGAGTAAACTTCTGATTTCAAATTGTCTGTTTTCAAGTTTTATAGAACCAATTAAAATACACATTCAGTTTTGTGGAGGTGGGAAAATAATTTTGTGGAATGCAGTGAAGATAATCTGCATTATTCATGTTAGTCTGTGGAAGTTTCTGCATTAAAGATCTAAAATTAGTGATAGGGAATTGTGCATTTCAGTACAATCGAAGAACAAAGAAGATTGTGGTTTTTAATTCTTTTTAGTCTTTGGATGTTAAAAATAGCATTACTGTAATGCATTTTTTCTGGCTTTAACTTTTTTATGTTTCCTAATTAAAAATAAGAACATATGACTTACATAACAACACATTTAAAACACTTTATCTTAAAACAAATTACTAGAAAACTGTAGGCCAAGAGAATTGATTCTAAGAGCTAACACAGCAGATTTTTCTGTTTTCATACTCTGGATTTCTCCATTCCACTTGACACTGTTGATTATCCCTTTCCCTGACAATATATTGTAATTTCTTTTCTAACTCTGACCCTCTTTCATCTCTTTCACTGACATCTATTGTTTCCCCTGCACTTTGATCATAGGCATCAATCAGATCCCAGCCTTAGGCTCTTTTTTAGTTCCTTTACACTTACCCTTTCCAGGTGTTTATCCACTGACATGGTTTCAATTACTGCCCCACTATTCTGCATCTTCAGTACCAATCTACTTCTTTAGGCCTTCACCTTCAGTAAACCTTCATTGATTAGTCCCATCTGCCCAGTGAATTCTTACATTAGGGTTCTCTTCAGTTTATCTCGGATAAACTACATGACTATAGATGTAGTTCAGTGTCAGAGTGCTTTTCTACCATGTGCCAAGGTTTGATCCCCAGCATTGAGGGGGAGGTGAAGGAGGGGGGATTAGGACCTCATTTGGACTTCCTTTTGCTTGAAAACCACTGAAATGATTTTTAACATACCTTTTCAGCATTACAGTTGTAAATCCACCATTCTGTCAAATTGATCCTCCTGTTCGTTTTGCTAAATTGTTCGATTCAGTGGTCAGATTTCTCAGTCATCAGTTTACTTGCCGCATGAGTATCATTAGATACAGTCAATCCCTCCTTCCTCCTTTTTTTGGTTTGGCTTTCACTCCATAGTACCTGGCCTTCTTCTTATCACTCCCTCCCACAGAGTTCTCCTTGTTTTAATGGCTTTAAATACCACCTCTGTGTTGATGGTTCTCAAGTTTTATCTCTACCACAGAAGAGCCCTCTGTGTCCAGTGACATAAATCTCAGTATCCACTTGACATCTCCACTTGGATGTCCAGTAGGTCTAATGATTTAGCATCTCTAAAACAGAGTTATTGATACTCAATTCCCCGCAAACTCATTACTTTTGTATGCAGTCTTCAGTGTCAGTAAATGGACACTGTCTTCTAGTTGCTGAGTTCTATAAGCCTGGAGTCATTCTTGAATCATTTCTCATATTCCATAGCCAGTCCTTAGGTAAACCCATTTCAACTTTCAAAATTCATCTAGAGCCAATGACTTCTCTCACTTCCATTATTAAACCCTAGTATAGCCCTCTGTCACCTTTTTCTGTATTATCTCAGAGCCTCCTATTAGATATCCCTGTTTCCACCATTGTTGCCCCACAGCCTGTCCTCAAGGTAATGCGTGACTCTTATAAAATGTAAGTTAAATTATGTTTGTATTGTGCTTGGAATGGTTGGTCATTTCAGTCAGGGTAAAAGCCAGACTGTTACAATGATTTTTAGGGAAAGCCCTATGGAATCTGGCTGACCCTTTTCACCTCCTAGCTTTCCTTCCCTCACTCCCTTAACTCTAGCCAGATGGGCCTCCTTTGACTTACTTGAACATAAGCGGCACTGTCCTGCCTCAGGACCTTTGTATTTGGTGTCCTCTCTGCCTAACGTGCTGTCCCAGATGCCTGCACAGTTTGCTCCCTCACTTATTTCAGGTCTGTATATAGTCATTTTTGAAGTGACACTTGACTTGGTCACCCCGTCTTACTCTATCTCATCTAACTCACCTCCCTGAAAGTTATTACATGTTTCTCTAACATATTAGATACTTTGCATATTTACTCATTAACTGTCTCCCCCACTATAATGTGTGTTTTCTTCGTTGGCCTAGTCCCCTGTCATATAGAAACTACTTCATAAATTTTAACTGTTGGATTAATAGATTGTTGTTGATCTTCCTAGCTTTCCTCCTTCATTTCCTCTAGATTTGTTCTTTTTTCTCTCACTCTCTCTTTATGCCCTCATATCTGCATTTTTGCAGTTTTCTAGTCATACTTTGTTATTTCAGTTTCATTCAACACAGCTCTGTTCACCAGCTAGTCATCAGAAAAATGCAAATCGAAACCACACTGGCATACTATCTGACCCCAATAAAAATGACTGTTATCAAAATGTCAGTAACAGTGCCCAAGGATGCAGAGAAAGGGGAATTCTCATGCACTCTTGGTGGAAAACAGTATGGAGTTTCCTCAAAAGACTGTCTAGCTGTACCATTCTTCAGAATGTAAACAAAGGAATTGAGATTAGTATGTTGAAGGGGTGTTTGCACTTGCATATTTATTGCAACACTATTCACAGTCGCCAGGATTTGAAATCAACTTGGGAGTTCGTTGATGGATGAATGGATAAAGAAAATGTGGTGTAAACTGGGAATGGGAGTGTATGTCTCTAACCCCAGCTTCTTGGGAGGTAGAGATAGCATTATCATGATCTGAGGTCAGTCCAGGCAAATGTTGGTGAGACTGTATCTCAAAAACAAGCAGGAGGTAGTAGTGCATGCCTGTAATCCCAGCTACTTGTGAGGTAGAGGTAGGAGGATTGAAGTCTGAGGCTGCCTTAGGCAAAAAGTGTGAGACATTGTTTGAAAAAAAAAAAAAAGCCCACCGCAAAAGGGCTGGTACAATTACCATAAGTACCACCAGAAAACAAAACAAAAGCTAGTATAGATACACAATGGAATATTATTCAGCCAGAAAAAAATGAAATTCATATATATATACCATATATATATATATATATATATGGTATATATATATATATATATATATATATATATATATGGTATATAAACATATGTGGAAGCTAAAAAATTAATCTCAGAGAAGTATAGAGGATAGAATAGTGGCTAGAGTGTTGGGGAGGGGGTATTGAAGAGAGAGGATGGGGTACAGTTGGCTATAAGGAGTAACTTCTAATATCCTTTCTAACACAGTAAGGTAACTATGGTTGAAAACAGCTGAATATTTTTTTCAAATAGAGAGCATTTTGGATATTCCCACCACAAAAAATAATACTTGTATGAGGTGATGTATATTCCAATTACCCTAATCTAAGCATTGCACATTGTGTACATATATTGTAACGTCACACCGTACTCCATAAATATGTGCAGTTATTATGTGCAAATTAAAGATAAAAATATATTTTAAAAGAATTGGTATAAATTTCTTACTTTTTTTTTTCTTGCGGTACTGGGGTTTGAACTTAGAGGTTTGCCCTTCTGAGGAGGCAAGTACTCTACCTTGAGCCACACCTCTGCACATCTTACTGTTTCTTACATTGATTGTGATCTCTTGGTTTCCTTGCATCATGCTAAGTCCATCTCTCTGTCTCCACATTTCTGATTAAAACTCTCTTCTGTGAAAAGCACAGTAATGTGCATGTTGTCTCCTAGATGGGTTCAGTTGTCACCAACTTCTGTAGTAGCTCCCTGTCCTTAGCACCAGACCATTCTGTTCTTTCCTATCAAATCTGACTGAAAATTCACCAGGAAATCATCTCTGATACAATGAAATAATTCTTACTGTATTTGTTCATGTTTATTGTCATATTCTATATATGGTTTTCGTGGAGGTCAATATACACTATTGTCTGTAGATATATTCATATTTTATCTTATAAATGCATTCATCAGTTGAAATTTTAGGGTTAGTAAGAGTATATACTATAAGATATAATTGGTAAGTTTTAAAGTGAAACATAAATTATTGTAAAATGTTTTATTGAGCCCACATTAATGTAATGCTTTTGTTTTCTTATTTTAGGTATCATTGCCCAATGCCTAAAATCTTTTATGTTCAGCTGACTGTAGGAAATAATGAATTTTTTGGTGAAGGAAAGACTCGACAAGCTGCAAGACACAATGCTGCAATGAAAGCTCTGCAAGCACTGCAGAATGAACCTCTTCCAGAAAAATCTGCTCAGGTGCATAACTGCTGCATGTGACATTCTCTTTCTTATACTTTTCTAGTGAGATTATTTGCCAGGCAAATGGGTACATTATGTAAATAAAAGAAGTAATCTGTCTGCTAGGGAAGAATACTAGAGTGGTATCTGCTAAGGTTTGCTTCTCAGACTACCTGTTACTACTCTAGTCTCACATGTCCCTGCCGGAGTGACTTTATGTTTTAGAATTTTGGTTCGTCTCTGAAGTTTACTTCCCAAGCATCTCAGGATCTGAGGATGAAAAATAATACTCATTTGCCTTGTATTCAGTGCTATGCTTATTGAACATCGATTACATTATGGTAACCTGGAATCAAGGAATTTAAAGTGGAAGAGATCTTCATGGATTTTTGAATCCATTGCATTTTATAAATGCGACTATTGAGGCTATTCTTGAGTAATTTCAGCCATTCTTGTGGTTTCAGCTCGTTTCTTCATTGACCTAAAAATAGAAGAATGTCTCTCTTAGGCTGTCTATTAGATCCTTCTGCTTAGTTATTTCAAACCCTACAGTTTAATCTCTACAATTACCCTTTCTCCAAACGTGCTGGCCTTCCTTCTTTAAGATTTGTTTGAATGGCAGACTTAGGTGTTTTTCTTCTGGTACATTTTCATTGTAACTTTTTTTTTTTTGCTGGTACTAAGGATTTAACTGAGGGCCTCACACTTGCCAAACAGGTGCTCTGCTGCTTGAGCCATGCCTCCAGGGCTTTTTTGCTTTATTTTTTGGGTAGGGTCTTGTGGGGCTAGCCTCAGATTTGCATCCTCCTTTATAAAGCCTCCTGCATAACTGGGATGACAGGCATGTACCACCACACCCAATTTATTGATTGAGATGGGGTCTTAACGACTTTTTGCCTGTGCTGACCTCCCAATCTGTCTCCTGAGTGATCAGCATTAGAGGTGTGAGCCTCCATTCCCAGCTTGATATGATCCATAAGTATTTATCTGTTTTTTTTTTTTCTGTTTTTTAGTTAGATCATAAACTTCTTGACAGCAGGAATTCTGTTTCTTTATCTCTATCACTAATACTCAGACCTTGCTCAGCACAGATGAGGCCATGAAGAAGTATTTTTTAAATAAGGCAGTGAGTGAATTGGTGCCCATGCCAGACTCGGAGCACAAGTATTGTTGTTTGCATCCTGTTTTCTTTCTGTAACTTAGGCTTCACAGGTGTTAGAACTCCAGTGGAGAAATTCTGTGGAAGCCAGGTGGGGGTGGTGGGGCTGGGTAGAAATCTCTAAAATAAGGGAATTTAGGACTGGTAGCGTGGCTCAAGTGGTAGAGCTCCTGGCTACCAAGCATGTGGCCCTCAGTACCGCCACACAAATAAATAAATAAATAAATAAATAAAAATAAGTAAATAAAGGGAGAATCGCGTCTAGGGCTGTAGGATAACTCATAGTAGTATTTGGTTGTGTAGATTTCCAAACTCAACACTAAAAGCTTCTACTTCAAGTGAAAAACTAAAAACCAGATAAAAGGCTTGGCAGCAAAGTCCTTCACTACTGTGATTCCTTGAGACTCTGCTGGATGTAGTCTGTGCTCTACTGTTTCTTACTGTGTTTTAGCTAGGTCTTCTTAATTGTGGAATATGTGTAAAACTTACTGCAAAGTCAGGATTCAATGTTGTCCCTTTTTGTGATTTAGAATGGTGAATCAGGAAAAGAAATGGATGATGACAAAGATGCAAATAAATCTGAGATCAGCTTAGTGTTTGAAATTGCTCTGAAGCGAAATATGCCTGTCAGTTTTGAGGTATGTGCTTGTACAAATTCACTATCATGAAATGATATGGGCCCTGGTGAAAATAGAAATTATTATAACACAGATTCCTGTTTTTCTCTGTCCTTTCTTTATTAAGCCATTTTTATATATGATATTTCAATTTTCATCATAAGATTTATATTTTGGATAGGAAAGTACCTTACAGGATTGAGTGGAGTGTTTTTGATTTGTTGTTTTAAATAAGGTAAAATATTAATTAATACTAATTTGACCCTATTTAATTCAATTTACTATTCAAGTTTCTATTCAGTTGATATTCAAGTTAATATTTAGTGATATTATGTTCATGTCCAATTCATTTTAATTGCGTGGAGGCCAAAATATGTTTAGCCTTTTTTTTTTTGGTGCGGGGGAAGTGCTGAGGATTGTACCTAGTGTGCTAAGCACATGCTGTACCACTAAGCTGCCTCTCCTGTCCCCCAAATATGTTTAACCCAAACTAACAAATCACTAAGAAGGAATGAAGCAGCTCTCTACAAGTAAATAAATTTGCCACAAATACATTTATAAAATTGTATGAAATTTAAAAGGTAATTATTAAAATAACATCCCCTACCAAGAGGTCACTAATTTTGCAGCTCGCGTCTGGAAGTGGGCAAAAACCAGGAAATAAGCCCAAATAGTGTGGAGAATCCTCCTTTCAAAATGCATAGCACTCTCCTAATAGGGGCTCCCACATTGTACTTGTTGGAAGGGTCATTGGATGAGATGCTGTTTGCTTTCTTCTTGGGCGTAATTCTAACAAGTCGGATTGTAACACTCAGTTGTAAACCAAATAGATCTCTTCTATAGGTCAGAAGTTTGAAGGAGACTGAAGTTTTGAGTATTCAGGGTTTGGAAGGTACCTTTCCTCCAAACTGGCGTAGTTTTAAAACTAAGGGCAGATTAAACAGGGATTAGGAACATTCATAGCTGTAAGATTCATAATTCTAGGTATTTTTATGGCATATCAACATACTTTTTTAAGATCATGTTACATACATTAGTATCTCTTTGCAGTCTTTGAGGTCTCTAGCAACATGAAGTTAATTTTCACTCATCACATATTTTTGAGAGGCTTACACATCAGGGCTCTTCCCAGGTTACAAAGTATATAAGACATTGTTCTTGCCCTTTGCAAACTTACCCTGATAGGAGAATATCAGGGGTGTACACAATTATATAAAAATTATCACTCTAGATGGCTTGTTTAGTATGGTACCTAATCTAATATGGTATATTTTGTGTTGTTAGCTTTGTGTTCTGTAGGACATGGGCAAACCATAATTAGAATTGTCTGTTTTGTTTTATTTATTTATTTATTTATTTACTTACTTGCTTACTTACTAGTAAAGCTGGGGAGTTTATTAAGATACAAAAGTGTAAGGTGGGAGAGTAGAGCACCCATGGTTGGGAGTGGGGTCCTAAGATTGGGTTCCCCTGAATTGTCTGTTTAAAAATAAGTTAATTTTGATTATGAATTAAATCTGTTTGCTTAAAGTTCTTTCCTTTCACCTTTAATTCATTAAGCATCAGAAGTGTCATATATGAACACGCATGATGCCATACTTTCATAATAGCTTTCTTACAGAAATTTCATAATTTTGGCATAGTTCTTTATGAAGAACTATCATAATCAAATAATGAATTTGATTATGATAAGAATATTAAGAAAGATTCATGTTGTAAGAGCTCATCTTAAGTGTCTGCATGTTACTTAATATGTACTTGTATTTAATAGGTTATTAAGGAAAGTGGACCACCACATATGAAAAGCTTTGTTACTCGGGTGTCAGTGGGAGAGTTCTCTGCGGAAGGAGAAGGAAATAGCAAAAAACTGTCTAAGAAGCGTGCTGCAACCACCGTCTTACAGGAGCTTAAAAAACTTCCACCTCTTCCTGTGGTGGAGAAACCAAAACTGTTTTTTAAAAAACGCCCTAAAACAATAGTAAAGGTGAGCATATGCTTGTGAACGTCAGTCCGTTTTATTAAGTAAGTACAATCGCATGCTACATAACCACATTTTGTCAACAGTAGACTGCAAGTAACATGGTGGTCCCATAGACCCTAACGGAGCAAAAGAATTCCAATTGTCTAATATTTTTACTGTACTTTTCTGTGTTTAGATATGTCTAAATATACAAATACCATTGTGTTATAGTTGCCTTCAGTATTTCGTAAGTAACATGCTGAACAGGTTTGTAGCCTAGGAGCAGTAGTTACACCACATAGCCTAGGTGTGTAGGAGGCCACACCATCTGGGTTTGTGTAAAGTAGGTACACTGTACATTTGCACAAGGAAATCATGTAATGACACATTTCCCAGAGCATTATCTCTTTTGTAAAGTGACATGTGACCTAAGTGTAGTGGCCATAGATACAAGTTCTTCTTAAGGTAAATTTCTTAACATACAGGATACAACATAGGACTATAAATTAATAACAATTCTGTTTTGCTTTTTTCAACAAAAACAATGTTTTAAGCAAAACAAAATGTATCTGTATTTGTTCATCAAAATAATAATACCTTAGACATTTATAGTTTTTTATGGTCTATTCATGTCTCCTTTAGCATAATTCTCATCATGACCATGTAAGGTAGATAGTACTATCTCTCATTTTACAAATAAAGTTTTACAAAACATGCCCAAAGAATTTGTTTGTTTTTTCTCAACTGTTATGTGGAACAGACTGGCCTGCTCTGATCTCTAATCCAATGTTTTCAACTATAATAACACTGCTATATAGTTAACTTCTTAGAATATCATAAATGGTGACAGGATGCAGATTACTAATCATATGGAGAATGTTAACAAAAATGACAGTAGTGGCGGGGAGAAGTTACAAAGCACACTCTGTGCCAGACGTCGTCTGTGTGTTTTCCCTCATTCAGTCCTCATAGCAGCACTGTGAGGTTGAGGTGCTATTCAGTTTCCATTCCTTTAGGCATATATACCATGCCAAGAAAGAATATAGAGACATGGTTTCCGAAGGTGTTGTAACTATTTCTTTTATTGGATCATATTTTATTTACATTAAAAAGAAAAATGGTGAAGGTTAGAATAGATGGAATCATTTAGTATAGGACAGTGCGCCTGAATGCTCAGTGTGTATAGTATGAGTGGAGCTAGAGTTCTGTGTGTCTAGAGAAAGCCTTAAATTGCTAGCATTTCAGTTCAGTCTCATTTGTTTAGCAGACTTCCGATTGGGCTCTGTGAATCAAGAACTATAGATATGAAATATGTTTAATCCTTGATGAATTTCTTTGGCACACTTGAGATGTTAGTATAGGTTTTATATCTTTGTACCTTTGCTTGCTTTTCTAATATATACACACAAATGGATAATTACATAAATACTCAATTCTTTTTAATGAATAATGACATTATTTCACTTAGAAGATGTAGGTTCTACATTCCCTGAAATAACTTTCTATGTTGTATGCAAAATAGACTGAAAATAAATGGCAGGTAGCTCAGCTCATCCTTAGGTATAGTTGTTCTAGAGAAGACTGGCATCCATTCATGTGCTCTGACTGTACAGTCAGGGCACAGGACATGACTGTTAAGAGTCAATTTTTTTTTGTAGTGTGAATTCCTGTGGCCTGATCAAATTACCTGTTCGAATCATATATGTGTTCATTTGTAAAGTGGGACTAATAATTATACTTGCTTTATCTTGCTTTATAAGATTATTGTAAATCTTATTGAAGCAGTGCACAGAATGCATTAGTATTTATTACTATTTATTATTAGTTAAGTAATAGTTTCTCAATAAAACTTAACTATTGGTATTGTGTCTAATACTGTCTGTTCACATTTTATATGTATGGGAGTGTATCCATGATATTTTTTTAAATGTTGTAATATATTATAAAATTTATAGCTTTTCTATGATGTAAGAATAGCACCGTATATCAAAACAGCAGCATAAAACTGGTCATAATAACTTCCAGCTAATCTATTTAACTCAATCCAATCTTTTAAAAAAATTTTTTTATTGTTGTGCTGGGTGGGGGTACATTATGGTAGTTACAGAAGTTCTTACAGTATATCAAATATATCATACTTGAATTACCCTCTCCATCATTCTCCTTTATCCCCATCCCCCCATTCCTGGAACGGTTTCAACAGTATCATTTTTCCATTTACACACATGTGTACACAGTATTTGTAATATTCAGTACAATCTTAATAAATTAAGAATAGCTCCTAGGCTGAAAAGAGATCCCTACATTTCTAAAATAGGATATAAATTTATTATTTTAACTATAGCTGTTAAAAATAAGATTGTTTAAATGTTATCTCCCAGAAGTAAGGAACAAGAGAAGCATTTTGAATTCTCAAAATTATTTGCTACTGCTTCTCACATACTAGCATATTCTCATGGAGCTTCCTTCTGTCCATCATTCAGATCTCAGCTTAATCATGACTTCTTCAGGGAAGCCTTCCTTGATCCTCCCCCACTCCCAGACTTAGTTACCCCCCTGCATTTTTTCTTGTATACATCACACTTGGAATTACTTGTGCTGTGTCTGTCTTATGTAAAATTTGTCGATATCCTCTGAAATGGAAGGCTCTTTTGAGAAATAATGAGTATATAATGAGTTAGAATCTGTATAGTTTTTAGTAGAATCATACCTTAAACTAGTAAATGAATCAGTTTGGAATGGTATCTTGATTTTTATTCTTTTCACTTCTTTGTTTGTCTTACACATCTAGAGTGTACAGTTCCTTACGTTCAATAGAAGCAGAAAAAATATCTGTAATGAGTTGGCTTGATTTTATTTAAAATACAACTATCACACGGGCTCATGATCCTCTTAATCATTCTGTGATGTAGCTGTCATCACCATTTGTGTTTGAAAACTTATCCAACTTACAGCATTCAGATTCCAGACCCGGTTATGTCTGCCTTCAGTGACCACTTGAAACTGGTTCATTTGTAAACTCCTTTTAGATATTAATATTTACTTTATGGATTTATGCTTTTGACATGTAAAACTTTCCTGATGATGTCTTTGGGTTTTTATCCTGTTCTTTATTATAGTTCTCTTCTACAAGATTAAGACTTAAAAAAAGGCTTTCCAGTGTTGGAAATAAGATTCCTTCCTTTTCTCCTTCCCTCCCTCCCCTAGGGATTGAACCCATTTCTGCCTGTGTGCTAGGCAAGTGCTCTACCACTTAAGCCACACTCCTGACCCTTAGATAAATGTTCTGGATGCAGTTTGTATATGACTGATATGCAAGGAATAACTTAATTGTCAAGGGTGCTAGTAGTTAATTTCAGTCAAAGAAAAAAACAAAACCATTCTCAGTGTTTTTAGAATTTCATCCTCTTCTAAATTTGATTTATGCATCTGGTTCTTTGTCCATATCAACAATAAATTTCTTTGAACCTCAAAAACATTCCTAGTAGAGAGTCAGATTTAACAGGAATAACAATAATATTCCATTGGAAACATTTTAACATCTTTATGTGCTGGGCATACTACTAGTGCTAGACTGATAGCTTCTCTTTGGTTTTCCATTGGGATCTCAAGCTTAGACTTATTAATTGTCACCTATATTGGTCTTTTCCCATCATCTCTTCTTCACTCCCTATGTAATTTAATTTTTATATGTGAATAAAAGGAGAAAACACCATTGTATCAAAAGCTTAAAGTGTCCTTTGCTCCCTCCTCTCTCTTTACTTAGCCATTGCAATAGTGAAGTTTTCATTCAGTGTTTTTCCTCTTACTCTTTCCCTGGGCTGTTCTAATTTCTAGGGGTTCAACTAAGTTTTTAGGTAGGTGATTCCTATCCTCTGCTCTATGTTATATTACACATCATTTCTTAATAACTCAGAGGTACCTCAAACTCATACTCCCTCTGAACTGCTTTTTCCTCCAGCATCCCTTATCTTAGTGGCTAGCACCACAGTGCATCTGCTGACATCAAAAGCTGGGAGTCATTTATAACTTTGCCCCTACACCTTATATACAATAAACCATCACGTCCTATTGACTGTCACCTAAATATTTCTTCAGCCATTTCTTTCCATCTTTTATGCCATACTTTTGGTCCAACTCACAATAATCTTTCACCTGAACTCCTACAGTAAGATTTTAGCTGACCTTCCTGTGAGTATTCTTGACACCAAATGGTCTTTTTAAAAGTGTGACCTGTGTGGTCATGCCTTGCCTCTGATTAAAGCCTTTAGTAGTTTGCCATTACTCTTTGGAAAAAGTCCAAAATCTTGAACACAGTTTAGAAGATCCCCGAAGGATTTGACCTGGGGGCTGTACCTGCAGTTCCAGGCTGAACAACCAAGAATGTGCATGCCAGCAATTATCAGGACGAGCTAAAGCTACACAGAGGCTCTTGGGAAGAGGGAGAAAGGAAAGGGTACCGAGCAGGGAAGAGGATTGACATATGCTACATGTATACGTATGAAACTCACCAAACTATGGAAAGGGGAAGGGGGAATTGGAATATAATGGAGGGGAAAGACTTGTTCCACGTACAGTGTATGCATGTATGGAATTATCACAATGAAACGCCCTCATTAATGCATGCTAATTCAAAATTAAAATTGAAAAGAATTGTACGGAGGCTCTTACATAGTAATAGTATCAGCATATATGGTCTGTAGCATAGTGATCAGCTTTGGTCCCATTACCTATTTAAGAATAAATTTTCAGAGGTGAAAAATATCTGGAGAAAATTCACATGCAGAAAGAATAGTTGATTTCTGAAGGAGTTTTGTTTCTAAGTCATTACACATGCAAAAACTACATATAAACTTCTGCATGAATTGAGTTGCCTGCTAATTAAATGTAAGTAAGACCTGCTTGACTTTGTGGACTTTTCCCTGTAAGGCTGAAGTTTTCTGTATGCCCTCTTCACATCCTCTTGCCATCCCCTGTAGACTTTCATTTCCTAGCTTACAGTTTTTCTACTTTTTTTTTTTTTT